GAAACGATAGTGGGAACCATGCATAAACTCATCTGAAATTTCAACAATAGGTGATTATAAAATAAGCAAAAAAATTAGAAGTAATGCTAACGATGTTCAAACTTATTATGTTACATATACCGTTGGCAAACATTCAGATTTTAATTTGCGTTTCTAAATTATTGTTCTCAAATTATTATTTATTTTTTAATAAATTTCAGTATGCTAATGATTTTCATATTACATTAGCGAAATTTCTTTTCCACATTCAAAACATCCGCATTGGCGATGTTTGGCGACGGGTACATTAACCCTAGGCCAATTTAATTAGAGCTATTATGACAGAAATCAGCAGATACTTAGGTTATTGTACAAAAGAATTTCACCTTACTTGCACGTTATAAACATTTGAGAAGATTGAAGGTAATGACTTTCTAAATGAAGGAATAAATAATATACTTACTAGACAAAGTTAAGCACCTGAACCAGGTTCTCAATTATCTCATCGGCAATTATTTACCCAAATTTTTCTTTTTTCTTCATTTTTAGGAAATATTACCAATATATGACCTTTCCGTGAATGATATGAGCAATTAATAGCTGCACATCCGTCCATTTTACACAAAAGAGACAAAAAATTTGTTGTACCGCTAACTACGCAGCCGCCATTAATCCTTCCACTTGGGCTAGGGAATGGGGATGATTCAGTTTGCTGTATACGAGCCTTACACTCACTACGTCTAAGTGGTTTATAGACCTTCAACTCAGTAAGAGAGTAACAACTCAGTAAGTTAGCTTTAATCTTATTTCTTTTGATTACTTAATTTTGTATGGAAATTTTTAGAGGACTTTAAAAGGCTCCTATGCATTAGATTCACCCTTACTCGATATGCCTTCAAATCTCGGATGACTTATTAGTTCCTTAATTTGAGGATAAATCAAATATATTTTCTGTAATTTTGGATTCAATAATTTTGGGAAAGTTTGTTTTCAGAAAAATAAAAATTCTTTCTCTCTGTACATTGCATTCGCAACGTTTTCTTTTAAAGTTAACTTCGTGAGATGAAATAGCAAGTATATTTTTTGGCAACGCAATTGCTAATTCAGAAATTGCATTTTCAATCCCTGAAGTTAAATTTCTTCCTTTTATGCTATAAATGTTTTAATATAATTTTCTTCTTTATACCTATTATTATATTCCTATTAAAAAAAGCTGATGACTAAAGAATAAAAGCTAAATCTAGAAAAGTAATAGAAACATTACTTTCAGATTTTCACAGATATGGTGCTTCTCATAATATAAACTCATGAGGGAAAAGCCTCACATTTTAGTATTAGTGTTCTCTGTGTGCGACATAAATAAGTGATTCTAACAGATACTCATTTCCATTATGAATCATGACTCATTTTAGGCTTTCTTTCGAGAAGTCAGCGAATAGTCAGTATTTTTCAAAATGTTCTTATATCCCAAAACGTCAAGCTATGAGTCTGCATCATTACAGTACACAAAATAATCCTTCGTAATGTGTACGATTTACATGTACAAAATTATCTTTTACCTAAAATAGTTTTTCGGAGTTTATTCCTTTGTTTCTGATAGAAACAGTATACATTTGTACCTTTTTTAAAAGATGTACTCCTTTAATATTGGTGACAATGATTAAACTAACATTCTGATAATTTAAGGTGGCGAACCAGGTTATTTAAGAAGGCTAAGAGCAAGCAGTATTTCTCTCTGTTAAAAAAGCAGCTAAAAATCTGGCATAATAGTGAAATAGAATGAAAGATTACAAAAATATAGAAGCGACAAATTCTAATTCTGGAACTGATCTCATCATCACAAAATGCTCAAAATGATTACTTGTAAGCAAAACGATTCTTGATCAATATAAGCAATTATAGGCAACAACTTACTGAACCGTCCGTACTTGCTAAATCCTATGGCATTAAAACTTGTTAAGGTGAAAATTCTACAAGTTGTCATTCATTGCACCAAAATGTTTTAATTTCGTCTTCCAATTTACTGTATTGCATTTCTTCCAGGAAGCTGAGCTGGTTAAAATCAGCCTTTTAAATGTAAATTTAAAATATACATTTGTGTGTCTTGTCTTTTAAATGTAAGTTTTAAATGTACGTTTGAACTAGTCTTGTGTACCGCTAGTCAAGTTTCTTGTGTACACTTGACTAGCGGTACATAAGACTAGTTCAATGATTCTAGACCTGTCATAAAGCTATCCAATCAATTTTGGGATCTTTCACAGTTCGCTATTACATCGACAGAGAAGCACCAGTAATTCATGTGCCGAATGTAATGTTTTAAAAACCTCTTTTTTTAAACGGATTTAAAAATACTTAGATGTTACGTATATTCATCTTCTATTTTAGTACCATGTTAAAAATATATTACATAAGTTTGTTCAAAATGATTGACTTTATCTGAAATGAATGCGATTCGGAAAACATCGGTAGCCTATTATTTTCATATTATTGCGAAATGCCAAGCTGCGGTGAGATAGCTTCCCCGCAAAGCGGGATTAGAATCGCCAGATTTGGCACGAAATCGCCCATTTGGCGATATTTGACGATAAAATTGACGATATGTTATAGTCGGAGCGAGAACATTTTACAACGCATTCTTAGCGGTTTTCGTTGAGAATGTTCTCGAAGGTAGGTTAAAATTATACATACCTTACCTGTACGCGGGAAAAGTAGTATATTGAGTTCCGTAAGTAGTGTTTTGAGTGCAGAGATTAGCTTGAGAGCTATGGACTGAATCGGGAGCTGTACTTTAGCGCTTTGCTGTGAAGCTGTCTTCACAGTTATAGCCTGAAGGCTGTGTTGCTGGTTGTTTCATCGTGTTTACCGTATATTTTCGACGAGTGTAAACGTGTCTTTTGACCTATCTTGTGTAACAATGCTTACTGGCGAATAAACTATGTTTTGATTCTTCATCAAATTTTGTCATCAATCACTTCAAATCCATGAAGCCGTAGAACGAAAAAATATTGTTGTTGCTTTTAACTGTAATTGCCCCAAACTTGGCGACCTTGCACTTCGAATTCGAACAACGCCAACTAGGCGGGAAAGAGAGTTACTTCATTAGTTGTGGCACCAAATCGCATCGGTGTCACTTGTCGAGAACTTCGGCTCTAATTAATGTATCGTATGTATGATTGTTGTATTTTAAAATAAAACTAAAAATACCATAATCGCCTCTTCCTATAATACAGGCTACAATTAGACAAAATACACACATATATCAAATGCAAGCACTTTTCAGTTTTAGAATGCTATAAGTAGCGCTACGGTCGCTGTGCTTTTTCGAGAAAGAGGTGGCTGTACAGCAGAAAAGTATATCTTTCTTATATAAGTCTCGAATTTCAGTCAGCTATCACCGCTCATCATCAGTTTCTCAAATATTATGGTTGTTTCTGTTAATTGACGACATCAAGTAGTCGAAATAAATTCCGCGATTTCTCGCAGATACGCTTCTTCGGCAGCAGAGTCCGATAATGTGTATTGGTATTCTCCATTTTTCCCGTTTGATCACAAAAAGTTGTATTTATCCATTTTTCCCTCGAGTTTTGTGACGTCAAAACTACACTGATGTTGTTGTTGTTGAGAAGTACGGAGTGCAAAATGTGTAAAAAGTATTTGATTGCCCTTTGGGGGATGAGATAATTCGTATAACTAAATAAAAGAGTCTAAAACATTTTTAGGCAAACCTGAACCATTTTTCTATCATTTTACATCTCCACAATCACTGCATGTTTATAAATTTTAAAAATTAAACCTGTTTAAAAAAAGTGTGAATAACAATACATCTTAGTAAACTAAAGAAACATAAATTGCTTTTAATTCAAATTACTTTTGTTTTAAATTTGAAGCAACGCATAGGTGTATAAAGTTTGAAACGTGTTTGCTTAAATTAGGCATAACAGATGAAATTCAATTAAGCACTGAGAATTTGTTGCATTTTAATTTTCCAATGGCTATTTTTTGTTTATTTCTTTTAAGCATTAAATTCACTTTTCGTGTCTTGAAAATGAAATAATATAATTTTAAGGTAGGTGGCAATTGCTTCGATATTTGTGCGTTTATTCTCATGATACAATTTGATACAATTATCTATATACATATAAAAGGAAGAATCTGTCTGTGAGCATGTGTCTTTCGTTCGTGCTGCGTGTAAGCTAATAGACCCAGGGCTACGAAATGTGGTACATAGGGGCATCTAGACAAGAGCCAGTGCGCCTAAAAGCAATTTTTTCAAAATTCGAATGAGTTTTTTATTTTATGTTTTTTGATGAAATCACATCAAATCGATAATTCAACAGCAACAATGGCTCCGTGCCATTGTTGCTGATATATCACTGTTGCTATTTTTTTTTGTTGCTCATATATAATTACTGTTACCATTGTTGCTGATATCAGTACTGTTGCCACTCGGAAAAATTAGGGTGATAATTCTGTGCAGTTTTTAAATTTAATGTTTCACTTGAATACTGGATGTTTGTTGAGTGAAGGCAACAGGAAGTTGGCTAATTTATTAATATTTGTATTAAGGGATATTGCTTATTTCATTGTAATTTTTGTATGTAATACATTTTTTGAAATTTGTGGGGGTTTTTTTGGGGGGTGTTCTTTTTCTTTTTTTTTCTTTCCCTTTATATATACATTATATATATATATATATAAAGTTGTTCTGCAGAGTAAAACTCTGTGCAGTTTTTAAATTTAATGTTCCATTTAGGTATTTTTCCGATACATTAAAAAGCCAGACGAAGGCTGCCCGCATAGCGGCTAGTATGATAATAAACAAGCCCATACGTGGCACATCAGCAGCAGATCTCCAGAAGGTAGGGGAAAACTGTTTGTAATTAGCGGCTAATGGTTAATACCATGCAGCAGTTAGAAAGTGTAGTATCTAGAACTGTATTCGTACTGAATGATACGTTTATAAATGGGTAAAAAATCTCGTCATTGTGGAAGAGAGAGGAGAATGTCTGAGAGAAACTTACCACTTCGAGCACCTTGAGCATTCCGGAGGTGGTCCTGACGTAGCTGGGATCGAACCGTAGCGAGATGCTAGGCTTGCCCATAGGCTGCTGCTGCTGTTGTTGCTGCATGCCTGGCGTCATGTACGCGGCGTTCGCGGCCTGCGTCACCGTCGCAGCTGCGTGTATAGTATCCTGGAAGCTTGGAGGTGGTGCAGCCATCATGATAGCCTGAAAGGGCATAATAAAGTGTTGAGCAACACAAGAAAACATGAAATCTTTGTTATACATCTTTATATTGCTTAAAACTCTAAATTAAGAATTATTAAGAATACCACAGTTGCTACAGGTATTACAGGAATAACGGCAGAGAAAATCAACGATATCTAAATTGTTAGAAATATAGAGTTGTTGTTAATTGTTAGAATATCCTTGTTAGAATACCATTTGTTATTTTCTGTAAATCAAATTACGAGAGCGTACTTTCAGTTTCGTTTCTTGTGACATGCCTGAAATTCTACGCCTTCAGCGAGGGAAAAGTGCCTTCAGCGAGAAATTAATTGGTAGTTGCATTCACCGTTTATGATTTTCTCGCTAGGAGAACTTTAATTTTTGAGTTACAATTCGTAAAAAATTGTTCTAGAAAAAGCAAATTAATATTTAAGCTTATAAAACCTTCAACAGATTACCATAAATGTTCAAAACTTGGATTTAAAATTTAAAAATTTAAAATCATAGGACTAAAAATAAAGTGCATTTTGACCTTGGTATGCAGATTTCAGTTTAATACTTAAAATAATTTTAAGCTATGGTAGGCCTATTAGCTTTTAAGAATAAAATCTCCAAAACTAAAGATATATAAGGTATCTTCTCCATCCTTTCTGCATGTATTCATGGTGTGACTAGCATGCTTAACTCGTATTCAGGAGATCCAGAGTGCAAATCCCGCTAGGGCCATGTACGTTTTCCACATTCCTGCATCGATACAACCTAATGACGCTAACAGATACATACCGCGAAATTTAAAAAAATGAATCTTTAAAATGGGCTGTTCAAAACGGCTAACTAAGTAACAAAAATGTTGGCTTTGATATTATTTCATCATAAATTAATGTCACATATTAACTTGAGGGTCTTAGTTAATAAAGAAAAGAACTAATCAGGACGAAGCTATATATTATTTAGTTCAGTAGATCGTTTGCGCAAGAGACTTACAAGAAATATTTCCCTCAAATAACAAAATTTGCTACTTTAACATGACGCGAAATACGTAAACTGCAAACAATAAATACCTTGGAGAAATTTCCTTCCAGAAGCTTAATTAAAAGAAATAAATTAAAACTTGTGATATAGATCAAGTTTAACATCTAAAAGCTGATATAATTGTTTTCTTGAGAGGGTTAAAGAGAAAGTCATTAAAGTAATTGACTTCCCCCATCTAAATTCTTTCTGTTTATGTAATTACATTCTAGTCATCTTGATTTCTGCTTATCTAGTTAAATATCATACATATACATATAATATATGTATGTGTATGCTGCGTGAAGTAAACTGAAATCGACATTTTTAAGATAAGAAAACTTAATTTCTACAAGTATTATGATAAGTAAAGAAAAGAAGAATTTTAAAGATCTTGAATTCTGTGATATATAGGAAAAGTGAAATCATTCAAATATATCGCTTCTTTTATATATAAAAACAACATCTAAACATCTAATGTTGTCAACTAATAAGACCAAATCTTTATATATAAATTTAAAATTGAATTAGAAAAGTTTTAAATGTTCAAGCATTTGTTTCTAAATTGTCTTTTTAACGTGAAAAGTGCAAAGAGAAAATTATCGAAATATTTTTTTGAATGTGAACTAGTTTTCGAAAGAAATTAAAAAAGAGAAAAAGAAATACAACAAGTTTTTGCAAAATTTTGATAGTATTAGATTTTGCTTTTGATATTGCTTTGTAGTGTACCCCTTGCACAAAACAAATGAAACAGTTCTAGATCTCCCGTTCTGCTGAGCCAATTGATGAAATTTAACTTGCGTTTTTCATGTCTCGAAAGCGCAATTTAGGATATGTAGTAGATTTATATTTAGCATTGTTCTAACATAGGTATTCTAATGCAAAATCGGCCTCTATCTGAAGCAGCATTATCTATTTTTTTCTTTCATTATTTCTATTCAGCGAATCAAATTATGCCTAAATGCCAAGTTTTGTAAAATTCGCACGAGCAGTTTTTAAATAATTACCTATAAAAATTTAGCCCTTCAGCGTTAATTGAATTTAATATATATATTTATTAATATCTCTTTTTTTTATTAAACTTACCTGATTTCTTCTTGCACAGTTCAAAATTTAAGTTAAATCCAAATAAAATTCTCAGATATTTTCTAATTTATTTCTAAAATTTGTATTTTTTAGTAATTTTTATAAATTTTTCGATAGCATTTATGTATTATAAACTATAAAAGTTTTATGATCCCCTTAAATAAGATGTATTTCTAGGCATACCTACAAAAAATTAGAGTTTTCTGTTCGATATTTCCAAAGATATATACGTGAATTTACATACTGTCGAGTTTTGGAATCTGGTATACTAGTTATAAGCGATAATAAAGCTATATGTGCTTTACGAACTTTGTTAAAAGTTATTTAAAAAGCGATACACTTCTTTTTTATAAAGTTCCCACCAGACTTTACAAAATATAATATTTCGGCATAATTTGAGTCGTACAATGGGAATAGGGAAAAAAATTTGATATGTTATTTCGGAAAAAGTCAAAATTTGCTGTCAAAATACCTATGTTAAACGCCAACATGGCGGATTGTGGTGGTGACGAGTTCTATGCAGCTCTGGACAATAAGCTTCAAAAGGTGGAATCAGCCATCGTATCGAAATGCAATATGAATCCGCAGATTCGTGATGATGCGAAGAAGGCTTTGGGTGAGATTAAAAGTTTGATTACTAGGTATGTTGAGCATGTTAAATCTGTAAATTTTCGTGAAGCTTGTAAAGAAAGCTTATTGAATTCAGCGCTGAGAAATCCGAACTAATTGCTGATTCTCTTCAAACACAATTTACACCACATAATGAAGGAATTTTTGCGAACAACGCAAATTCTTTCCCACAAGATATTGAACACTTCCTATCCTCTCCATCTGCGAAAGAAGTACAATACACTTCCATGAGCGAGGTAAATGAATACATTACCAAGCTCAAACCCAAAAAAGCCCCTGGTATGAACTCTATTTCTAATCGTATGATTAAAAAATTTACCACCAGTTAGCTATTTTTCTTAGTAATGCTTATAAAATTTATGATACAGCACTGCTATTTTCCTCAAAGCTGGAAACAAGCACTCATCGTGCCTATTCCAAAACCAGGCCAAAGCCTTTCAAATCCTCAAAATTATAGACCTATCAGCCTCCTATCTTCGTTATCAAAGATATGCGAATTTGTGTTACTTAAACGCCTGAATGATTTTCTCCGAAATCACAACGTTCTAATTGATGAACAATTTGGATTTCGAGTAAAACACTGCACTACGCACCAGCTGCTCAGGACAGTGGAGTTCATTCACGAAGGGTTTCGTAACAAAATGCTTACTGGCGCTTTATTTCTTGACATAGCCAAAGCATTTGATAGGACTTGGCATATAGGAATCATTATCAAGCTCATACGACTTGACATTTCGGCCCATTTAATTCACATAATTAACTCGTACCTCAGTAATAGATCTTTTTCTGTACGAGTTAATTCTTTCATTTCGGCACCCCGTCCTATACTCAGCGGTGTCCCTCAAGGGTCACTTTTATTCAACACTTTCATAAATGACATACCAAAATCACCTAGTATCACTCTTGCACTTTATGCGGATGATACGGCCATCCTAGCTCAAAACAGACACCTTGAAAACTTGGTTCACATCATTCAGAGATATCTCTCCAGCCTTGAGCACTGGCTCATCACTTGGAAAATTAAAATTAATGTTGCAAAATGTGCTGCTATGATCTTCAAACGTAGCCCCCTTCCGTACCCTTCCATTAATTTAAAGTTTTTCGACGACTATGTTCCCTGGTCAAATTCTACAAGTACCTAGGAGTTGTACTTGATTCAAAATTACGCTGGCACCTTCACATTGAAAATGTTCTCAATAAAGCAAAAGGTGCTAGAGCTCAACTTTACCCTATTTAAGTTAAATCCAAATAAAATTCTCAGATATTTTCTTATCTGAGATATTTTCTGATATATCTGAGATTTCTTATCTCAGATATTTTCTTATCTTATTAGCTCGAAAGAGCCATCTGTCAATTAAAAACAAAATTCTTCTCTATACATCAATAATAAGACCTGTCTTCATGTATGCATCTACAATCTGGGGTACTGCTGCAAAACGTCATGTGAAGAAACTTCAATCTTTTCAGAGTAAGACCCTACGTATGGCCCTTAATGCAGTCTGGTACGTCCGTACAGATGTGATTCATTCGGACCTTAACATTAAACCTGTAGATTATTTTATCAAAAAACTTAGTCAAAATTTATTCCTCAAAATTGAACAGATTGATAACCGAGCACTTCAACAGATGCCAGCATACGATCCATCTATTCGCAGCTCACAGAAGAGACCGAGAACCGTGATTGGCCGAGAGTTCGGCATCTATCCACCATTGAAAAGGGCAAGACACGCCCTCTCAACTTCTTTTACTTTTTGGAATCGTATTTTATTTTCTGCATTTATGACTGCAACACACACCTTTTATGAACTGATTTAGTACTATTTTATGTATAACTATTGTAAAACTTCAGATTTACAGCGCTACGATGCCTGGATACCTCATCGCCAACCAGATGTCTTATCGCTCATCACGTGACATTAGTCACACCCCTGCATCTGCTATCCTGTCTCCACGAGAACTACGTTCGGCATTTCCTTACCTGCAGCGCTCCTCGAAGCACCAAAGTTCGATAGCCGGAACACAACCTGCAATTTCGCAGGTTAATCGCGGCAAATAAAGCAAGTTGGAGTTGCAGTTCTCAATTTCATTTCCAGCTCCCGCGCCATGAAGGAAGGACGTCTCTTCGACGAGCTGCCATATAATTGCTTATTCTACAACCAGCACCGGCTAACAAGACTTTCAAGCAAAGTTATCAATCTATTCGCTTAGAATCACATCTCCCGCAGGTTTTAATCTGCCTATGAATATTTTCACCGCGTTCCCTTATGTTATT